AATCACCTCTTTCCGGTTCTTCCCACTTTTAACAGTATGTTATTAAAATATTCCAGGAATGGTAAGACTCCTCCGCACAATATTAATCAGCATTGCTCCATCAGGCTCAGGACTTCTCCCCTCAGAAAAGGGACACTTCTAAAGTCTCTAATAGCTAACCAGACGTATGGAAAGTTAAGACACCTGATATACTTTAAGAAACCTTCAGTTTTTAGCAATTCTTCCCCTCCCGTTTCTCTGTGCCTTTGCTGTTCTGCTTTCTTTCACAGGGCACAGAAACACAATCCAACAGCGTTACGCTGTGCCCAGCAGACAGGGACTGGGCTGCAAGCCCAGAGACTTGTGCTCTCTTCCTTTGCCACTCACACGCTGGTTGCCCCTGGCAAGTGACTTTCCCTCCGTCCTGCCTCCAGAATACCTAACTCCTCAGTAAAGTGATCCCAGGCTTATCCAGGCAAAAGGCTTAGAAATACTATGGACTAGTAGCACTATTTGGTGAAGTTGTTAACATTTGGTATTTTGAAAACAGGTATTAAAGGCCACTGGTAAGTTGAAATCAGGCATGATTTCAGGCGTGAAAATGACATATAAACAGTTGCCAGAGTGACCTTAACTCTGTCCTAGGCTGGTCCAAAGAGGCAGAGATACTATTAGGAAAAGCAGTAATGAGCATATAGAGAAAAGCTTAGGTGCTTACGCACTCCCAAATGAACTAAGGTTTCAAGGGAAACCATAAAACTTACAGTCTAACTGAGCTCTGAAATCCAGTTATGGTTATTTTGGAGATGTTCTTACGTTTGTCTTTCCTACAGAAAAGAGTAAGAATAATACCAATATCCGATAGCCCCAATACTACAATCCATAATCTGTAGCAGAGTTACAGATCTGGAAACAGTCAAGACTACCACGCTCTGGAGACCACAGCAGTGCTGGTGGTAGCTCATACTCCCCTCTACCTCCTCGGGATGAGCCCCAAAACAAGCTGTCAGCGTGGAGACCATCCTGGGTTTACTTCCTAACCCAACTGCAGCTCCCAGGTATAGGCACCGCTGATCCAACACTGGTGCCAGCCTAGCTCTTAAACTGTGACATGTGCACTGAACACAACCTGCTTCAGGACTCAGCACAGTGCAAATACCTGTTCAGGTCAGAGGTGATGCTTCCCGCAGCCCTGTCTCTGGCACACTGTCCCTGCTGGTGCAGGGCTTGTTGGACCCCTGCTTGCCAGTGGTTTTATTTAGCTATCTGTCAGGTTGCCAAGAATTTCCCATGGTATGTGAGCAGCAGGAGGGAGACTGTTTTTACAAAGTTTGTAACTCCCCAAAACATGACTGGAATTTCCATGGAGAAGGATGACAGATCTAGCCCAAACACCTTCTTCCTGAGGACTTCCAAAAGTCTGCAGCAAACCAGAGAGGCTTATGAGCATCTCAGAAAAGACTGCCAGACTCTTGACCAGGAACAGTCAGTGACCTAGATGTGATGTCAAACTGGCCACGCCTGCCTAGGAAAAAATACCAGATAGAAAGTGTTTTTCAAAACTTTTCTCCTCCCCTCCTCCTCCCTGACAGTCAAAGTTGGTAGCAGCTACACAAGCCTTTTTATTAACACATTAGCACTGTGGGTTGCATTGTTTTCTTCTCTCTACATGTGGGAATTCTGGTCTTGGACCCTGAGCCAAGGCTAGGAAAGTAGCTCTCAGAGCCATGCAACTATGTCCCCATGAGCACATCCTCTCTTCAATACCACAGATCTGCATCCCTACAAGAATGGGGACAAAACAAAAAAAGGGAGTCCCAGAGAAACAGTCTATAGACTAAAAACCCCAAAGGCTGAAAATAACCAAGCGCAACAGTTTTTCCTCAAGGGACTCTTCAAAGTGCCTTCCCAGCTGGAAATTCTAAACACCACTGTCTTTCCTCTTTAAGCAGACAGCAAGTAAACAACTCGCCTCAGCTGCGATCCAGCTTGCCCCATGTCTCCCTTCTGCCCAGGCAAAAAAGGCCAGGCCAGCCCATCCCACAGCAGCCCCTTCTTACCACCACCACTGGTTCTGCCAACCTGAAGGCTGAGGCACATTACAACACAGCTTCACCCACCACGTCAGTAACATCCTCCTGACAGGCCAAGCACGACTCACTCTCAGACCCCATATGGCAAGATGCAGACTTTGCCTCCCAAGAACAAAGAGGACCTGGTGCTCTCAGGGTAAGTCTGGGGAGCACAACACAGCTGACTGCCACTAAAGCTCGGCTGCTCTGGGGCCAAGCCCAGGTGCCCGTGCAGTGCTCGCCAGAGAGGTGTCTCCTCACTTGGCACACCAGGTTGCCTTCACCAAGCTTTCAGGTGTTCACTGTCATTGTGAGTAACAGCTGCCTCCATAAAGTCACTATGGAGAAAACTTGAACAGCTTTTAAAAACCTGCAGTTCTAGTTATCTGAACTAATGCCAAAGACCCACTGCTGGACAAGAGACCTCCTCATCTACACCAGTTTGGGATGGATGCAGTCTATGCCCCAGAGAGAAGCACATCAGAGAAAACAAGATCTTGCTGTACCCCTTAAATATTGAGAAATTCTGGAAGAAGGCAGCAAACTATGCCTGCAGAGACCATGAATCTAGAGGTTCCAAATGAAATAGAAATAGCAGAGGAAGATTTGAACAACACAGACGACTGTAATAGAGAGGGTGTAAACAGCCAAACTGGGTCGCAGAGGAACAGCAGTGGAGCAGCAGGCAAAACAAAAATAGCAGGAAAGGAAAGATACATAAAAAATTCCTAAAATATATGAGGAGCAAACAGACTGACAAGGCAACAAGAGGGCCATTGAGTGGAAAAATGAGAAGAGCCCTGTAGAGGCAACCAGGGTAGGCCAGGGATTTAACCCAGCCCCAGAGGGGAAGGCACAGGGAGTAAAGACAGCTGAACTTTTTCACTGCAGCAGCAAGGAGGGGAAGATGACTTTGTCAGGAAATTACAACCATCTGCACTTAGGAACAGCAGCACTGGCCGAGCACTTTCATGTTCACTCTCTAAGGCAGGTGACACACACAGGCTGTTCTTCCACCGGGGCAAATGGTCCTGGTGGATCTCACTTCCCCATCCCCTAGCCCACCGCTCATCATTTCCCTGCTCTGGTGGCTTGGCCTTGCCTCCAACTCCTTCAGCTAGAAGAGACTATCTGGGGATAGCAATGAGCGTGGCAAGTAAAAAGGGGGTTCAGTAACTGCTGCACGGGGGAGGGAGCCAGATTTGCACAGCCCTGCATGAACATGGAAGCAGTCCCTGCCTTTCTTACTGCTCCCTGCTCCAGCTCCACTGCTACCACAGCAGCTCCTCTGAAGCCTGGTGCAGAGAGCAGCTGCTTGTCGCTCTCTTTCTCAAGAACTTCCATCTGTGATTTTCAACTCTTCCCCGACCCCCAAGATCCAACCGCTACAGAAGAGGCTAAGTTAGGCCGACAGAAATCCTTCTATGGTTGGAACGACATGGGGTTTGCCCACATAGCAGAGACATGAACTCTCATGGTTCTTCCCCTCTTACTCTCCATACCTCACCGTGCCCTGTCTTTCTCAGCCAAGAAAAATCCCACAACAAGAAGGGGAAAAATGACTTACAGAGAAAAACACCGTTTTGCACAAGGTGGTTCCCAAGCTCTGCCAAGAAAGATTACTATATCCACTTCCTGCACAAGCCCAGGATGCACACAGCCTAGGCCTGAACACAGTAGGGCCCAGTGTCAAAACTCTGAGCAAGGTGGCCAGAAGGGCCTGGAAAGACTCGGGACGGGTAAAACACTGATGGGTAGCAAAACACCTACTGGAAAAGAGACAAGGGAGCTGACAGGGGCCTGGGAAGGAGTCTCTGTTCCCTGCACAGAGCTGGACTTATGTCATAGGGTTGATGGAAAGAGAAAAGTCCCCCTTTCAGAGCCCATCTCCCCTCCAGTGGGCACCGGGGTGGGTACACACTGTGTGATGGCTATCGAGATGCTTCAGCTGAGGATCTTCATCCCCCACCTCCACTGAAGTCAGTCCTGCTTCCTTCTGCAGACAGAAAGCCAAGAATCCCCCCCACTAACCCCAACTCTTCACCTATCACAGAACTGGCCTCAAGACACAGCAGTTCAAAAGAAGTGGCATGGTTGTACTTTTAAATTATTATTTTTCTTTACTGTCTAACATTTTCATACCCTCACAGGATAAGTTTGGTGCTCCCAAACTGCCCTTTGTAACCCCTGGAGTTGTTACCTTACCTTTCCAATGGAAACTGTGGCTCTTGCCTAACATGATCAGAGCAAAATCCAGGCTGGCAAAGACCTCAGTAGGTCTCTGGTCTGACCTCTGGCTCAAGGCAGGCTCTGCTCTGCACTCAGACCTGGTTACCCGGGACATTATCCGGGTTGGTCTTGCAAACCTCCAAGGATGCAGAAGACACAACCCCCCTGGACAACCTGTGCCACAGCATGGGGAAAAGCTTCTCCTTCAACGCAGCCTCAGCCTCTATTCCTCCCACCTGATGTCTGTTATTTCTCATTATCCCGCCACTGTGAGCTGCCATCTTCCCTCCTCACAGGGCCTGTCAGGCTGCCACCGAGTCTCCCGCTGTCACCTCTTCCCCTGCTGCACAGGCCTCGCTGCCTCTGCCCCTCCTCACTTCCGCAGCCCGGGGGCCTCTGCTGAACCCCTCTGCTTTATCAGCGTCCTCCCTCAGGGCAGGGACCCCCCCCAGCCCCAAATTCTAGGTGTGAAGTAGGAAAATCCTACAAGCTCGACCACAGGCATTAGATGGGCTGGCAGCGCCAGGATCCCCTGGGGCGGCTGAGGCAGCAGGGCTCCGGCCCCCTCCGTCCCCGCACACCGCCCGGCTCCCCGAGGCGCCGCGGGCACCGCGCTCCCCTCAGGG